GTGCTCTCTATTTTCCTTTTCATTAATTTTCTTTAAAAAATAGTTCCTCTTTTCAAAAAATATAATCGAAATCCTTGGTCATTTTATGTAATCTTTGAAAGCACAACTTTTAATATTTAGCAAACAGATATTTTACGAATGTTAGAAAGTAATATATATATATATATATTCTAATCTCCCGTTTCGTAAAAATTTAACCGATGACATTTGTGTGTGTGAGTATGTCAATGATAACTACATGAATTTATCCATAAGCTGGTAATTGTTTACCATTATCCGTTCCATTTGTTTTTCCCTATCGTTAATTTGTCAAGGGGCTTCTATTCAAGCTATATCTGTGTTAAGTGCGAACCCAGAAAAAGAAGTTTGTAAAAATATATTGGAAGCACAAAGTTAAGTTTACAAAAAATAAGAAACGAAAAAATTGGTAAAAGTCAAATCCCATATGTTATGCTTGGAAAAAACAACAATAACAACATTGCCCAGTATATTGACACATGTGGGGTCTGAGGATGATAGTGTATATGCAGATTTTATTCCTACCTTGTGCAGATAGAGAAGCTGTTTCCAAGAGACCCTCACCTCACGCAAGCATAGTCACAGCAGTAAAGCAAATTAAAATATAGACACATGGCCATAAGTTATGCTTGGATAGAAGAAAAAAATTGTTGATTGGCCTAAAGGCATATTTTGACATTAAACGAAAAAAAAAAACAATAGTAGAATGAGATAAGGTACCGTCTATACCACATATTTATTATTTATGATGACTTGCACTCAGTTAAAATAAAAGCAAAAGTTAAAGATAATATTTCAGAGCAAGATAAGAAAATGAAATCCCAGTTATTTAAACAAGCGCTTAAACTAATTAGATGCTAACAGAAACCATTGACCTTTTTCTATTTATATATAGCACAGCTTAGCTAACATAACTAAGAATTTAGCAAAAGAAGTCGTAGGGCTGTTTTGATTTTGTTTAGTTTATGGTCTAATTAAGTCCTTCACAATGTATAATGTCCTGTGGCACGGTACAAGTAATTGAACAATTTGTTTCTTTATTATTTCGCTCGTATTTTAAGTTGCTTGTATGACTGGTTGGAAACCAAGTCTTAAATTTCATTAATATTTAAGAAAAGGGAACTGATAAAATATCTGCATGACAAAAGGGCTGATATATCGTCTTTAAATTAATCTCAATAATACAATAATAAAATATTGTCGTTGACCTTATGGTAATTAATTAATGCTACTTGTTGCTTGCATGTTTGGCATAACAACTCTTCCCATATTTTCCCAATCCACATATTGGATGTATAAACTCTATCTACCCAGGTATCAAGATTTGGATAGATATATGGGAAGAAATCACCTAATATTTTTTTTTTGCTACTGGAATTTGAACCTAAACTTGTCATCCACTTTATTGAACAATAGGCCACACCCTTGGGTGCTTAAGTTTTGTGTATTATATAAATTTTTTACTTTAGATTAAATTAAAGTTCACTTATAATAATAGGTATATTTTCATAGCAGGTAGGATATATACAATGTCGGCGTATATCTATCTATATATAAAAGAAGAAGCAGAAGAATACAGTAATGCCAAGTGGCATAATCATATTTCAACAAGTGTCATATTTTGGACAAATCTCCAAAAAGATTGGAGTTTAAAATTATTTGAAACTAGAAAACAGGCCAAAAAAAGGCTCCAAAAGACGGTTCATTTTTTACTGCACTTCAAAATTGCTCTTAAAGCCAAAATAACTACTAGAATTATTTGAAACTAGAAAATAGGCAAAAACAAAAAGAAGGCTCCAAAAACGGTTCATTTTTTACTGCACTCTAAAATTGCTTTTCAAAAGCCAAAATAACTGCTAGAATTTAAAAAAAAAACCTCTTGAAACCGCTGAGATCCTAAAACCAAAGCCCCCAAACTATCTTTCTTTCAGCTTTTTTTTCTTTGTTTATTCTCAATTTATATTCTTATATCCCATTCTATCTTTCTTTCTGCTTTTTTCTCTTTGCTTATTCTCAATTTATATTTTTGTATTATTTGAAAAATTCTTCTTCCTTTTTCTTGGCAAGAGGTTTTATAAATGTTTAAATGGACTGAATTGCTTAGATTTTTTTTTAATTCCAAGGTCTTAAACTAACTATGTTAAAATGCAGTGATTGAAACTTAGAATGGGTCAAACTCTGAGAGCACAACCCAGAAGGTATTTTTTCTCATATTTTTTCGGTAAGACAAATCTCACTTGATTATTGACATTCTATTTGTATTTTATGGTTATAGAACATTTGTTTTCATCGTTATATTAGTACCCTGAAAGTTAGAGAATTTTACTGTTATTTTAGCTGCTAAAGTGTTTTGCTACAATTGGTTTTCTATTGCGTTTTGATATAAGTTTGAACCGGTGTCAGGCGATACTCATTTTCTTGAAGATGAGAGTACAAAAATCTTTGCCAGGAAGTTGGCTGATCATTACAGCGCGAGGACTAACCAAACTCTTGAAGAGCGCGAAGCAAGTCCTATCATTCATTTAAAAAAAACTTAACAATTAGGTATGTGTAGTTTATTCATGGGAAAAGTTCTTCTGCATAGTTCATTACTAATAAGGTTTTCTGGCATGTTAGATCAACAATGTCTTGATTCAACTTTATGCCAAAAGAGGGGATGCAGTCCTTAATCTTGCTTGCGGGAAGGTAGTTCTTGCCTATTGTGTATCTCGATATTATTTGGCAGTACGACCTGTTAATTTATCTAGGTGGTAATAAACAAGTCGTCAATGCATCTTATATTCAAATGTCTTTCTGTTTAAACCAGGGTGATGATCTTATAATGTGGAAAGATGTTTTTAACCATTATTTAGATGTTCTGCCGTTCAACATTATTAAATATTATTCATTGAACTTTTGAACGCTACTATGCTATTAGCAGCAGGAATGGTGCTTTCATTGAAGTTTAATGGGGTAAGTTTAAGGTGGGATTTTGCATCCCATCTTTAGCTCATAAAGGAGTTGAAAAAGACAAGCAAAGGAGAACAACCTATTTTCGTTCCAATTTTGTGATTCTGTAATGATTTGGTGCCACTAAATTGCATGTAGTCAGTCAGATTTCACTCATTATATCGATCGTTTCATGTTTCTGTTTATTGATTAAGGTGATAGTTTCTTTCAACAACCTTTCTTACTTTTAGTAAAAGATGACCATCTATTATGGTTTGACCGAAAATTTGTGATTATTTAATGTATAGAAGAAAGAGTTATGTGTTGCTAGCCCATACTTTAATTTACAGTATATTCATACTTCAGAAGTTATTATGCATATATGTTCGTTGCTTTCAAGCTGACTTTCCTATGAAATGACTCTTCCTGAAGAATTATATACTATGATATTAGTTGGGTATTTGAAATAAATGTCCTCAATAAGAAAAAGATAATTTAAATACTAAAACATTAATTTTGAATATTATAAATAAGATATAAATACCAATATACTACCAATAGTTTCTTTTAATATTAATCGCGCATCGCGCGGGTACTAATACTAGTTAAATCCTAGTAAAAATGCATAAATTGGTAGTAACTGACAAGAGTAAAGATCATATCTCTTTTGAAATTTTACTCATTGACATTTATAAAATTCACACACCTCAGTAGACATTTTGAAACGCTGAGATTGCACATTGAAATTCTCGTAGTAGATCCATAATAAAACAATACTTTACGTCTGTTCACGAGACTATACTATGAAAATATGATCATGCTTAATCAGACTGTAGCAAACATAAAAATGACTAAAATTATGCATAGTGAAAAATTTAGTAAGAATATGGCTTCCATGCTTTAGCTGGACTAATATGCAGCAAGGGGTATTAAGACCAAATATAAAATTCAATAGTCTTTCCTGCCATTGTATTGGACATTTACAATTTGATTAATTCTACTACTCTTCGCATATTATAATGTTTTTGAGAAGTATTAATAAAATCATGATCATGCACTAACAGAATTATAATATTAAAGTTGGATTGTCAACCTGCACGTCTCTGAAGCAAGAACGTAAATAAATTACCTCAAGTCAGACTTGATCAATACATAATTAAGTACACACGCTACATCATATCTCTCTCTTCTATGTTTAAAAAGTTTTAGGGATATCATCTGGATTGCTTGAGAATATTTTGTGTTCGTCCATTTGATCTTAATTCAGGAGGCATATAATTAACTTATAAATTGTCACCTCTAATAGCCGTGGTAAAATGGATAAGATTTTTCTACACTATATATATATATATATATATATATATATATATATATATATATATATATATATATATATATATCAAATTCGAGTCTAGCAAATAGAGAAACCCCTTGTAGGGTACGCTTATCTCCTTAATGGGTCCCATGCAGTACAAATCAAGATTAATCAGCCAGTTATTTTTGGATACCAGATGATTATATAAAAAATAAAATAAAATAAAATAAAAAAAGGTTAGCGGGTGCAATAGGTTTTAGATTTCCCAGTTCAAAGATATATCCAAAAGTGGACTCATCATTACTGGCAATTGATCTAAAAAGTACTACTACAATTAAACATGTAAATTAAAAGAGAAATCCTAATAGCTAATTAGCTGTTTGACTAGCAAGCAGTGTGGCCATGTTAATTACTTGCATTAACGTAGGAAGCTTCAATAATAGCTGTTGCAATTAGCCCTCTTTTCTGACATGTTACATAACCTATTTAAAAGACCTAAATGTTGAAGTTGATTTCTTCTTCAAGCATTTTTTTTTATAATATGACTTTTAAAAATTAAAATTAGAAAAAATACCTAATTAAATATCAGTATATTCCTAAGTTGTGTGCAACTGGGCCATTGACATTTTTGTTTGTGGTACTAGCTGGTAAGCCAATAAATTTGAATTTTTATTAGTTTAAACAAGTCAAATACTGTTGGCTCCACTTTATAAAACAGACCTTTGCTTTTCAGATATAGCTAAAGGTGAAAATTAACAGAGAAAGAGAGACAGAATAGAGGAGATCTAGATAAGAGGAAGATAAGGTCTATGACATGGAAGCTGCTTTCAGAAAATCTATTAATGGAGGTTTAATCAAAGAGGAGAAGAGGAACAAATTAGCTGATCAATCCAGTTCTGATGAGGAAGGTTTTATTGAAGACAGTAATGTTCTTAAGGTAAACCTTACCTTGCTTTAGTGATTCATCAACTCTTTCTTTTATTGAAAACCTTCACGGGTTCGAGCCGTGAAAACAACTATTAATGCTTGCATTAATTAGGAGTTATCTACCTCACACCTTTTGAACGTGGCCCTGATGCCTTGTGCACTGGAGCCCTTCCTCCAAATATACGCTATCCTATGAAATGAATTTTCATTTATTAGGTTCAATCATGAGAGATGCATGAGATAATGAATATATTTATGCAGAAGTTACAGTACTCTCTTTTAAATCCAACTTCTTAAAATGTCTGCATGGTTCTAAAATTGTGTCGAAAAAAAAGAGAATTTCTGGTACATATATAGAACTTTAAATCGATATTCTGCAGGAGAACTAAAAGGAATTGAGCTCCAAACTGCAGGTCCACTGTTGTTTGTTGATTTTAATACGATTCAATTCCAATCTAGGAGAACTGTCTTTACAATTATGGTTAATATATTAATTTTTCCTCCTCTCCTTCAACTGATAACTTGGAGAGGCCATTTTCTTAAGTCAAAAACTTATCTGTAAATAAACCAAATACAAAGGATGATTTTAAAAAAACATGAACTATGATGGAAATCATATTATTAACTTACTTTAACCTATTTCAGCTATTACTCCAATTTAGATCTCATTTTTGGGAATACACTAAGTATGTTGTTGTACTCTGTTGTAGATCTCACGTGATCGTATATTGATATGTATTATGCTTCAGGTCGGGAAGGAAAGTGAAGTCCGTGAGGACGATAATTCGAAGTCTCAGCAAAAGGATATCGGCAGTGACAAGGAGGTATAATTGATATATCCTTAATCTTGTCCATTCCTAATTGAGTTTTCGATTCAGTTCATAATATTTGAATTATGCATGTGATTAGTTTCTATGTTATTGTAACCAGTGGCGAAGCCACGAGGTCACAAGGGTGGTCAACTGACTACCCTTTGTCGAAAAATTGCATTGTGTATATAGGTAAAATATTACGTTTTAGAGGTATATAACACATATTGAATACCCTTTGTCGGGAAATTTTTTTCACTTCTTTCAAATTTGAATACCCTTGGGAAACTTTCTAGCTTCGCCACAGATTGTAACTTGCAATATGTTAATACTTCATGATTATGAATAGTTTGGAGGAGGAATGAGTACATATATAAACAAAATTATGTTATATCTCCCGCGAAATCTCTTTAAACTTTATGCATGATTACTAAGCTCCCATTTTGCCGTAGATTTTGGCTGCTTTATTTTTCAAAAAAAAATTAAAAATATTGTTTGTTTATGAAATATGATCAGTTTTTGAAAAAAAAAAAGTTGAAATCTTTTTTCAAGTTCCCAAAAGCTGGTTTAGGGCATTTTTTTGGTGCATGAAAATTATTTTTCCACTCACAAAATTTCGGCTTTCTTTCAAATAAAATACATATTTAAACGCAACTTCAACTTTCAAGAATTATTTTTCAATACAATTTCAAAAACTCTTATTTTAAGTTTCAACCATATCAATGTTGAAACGCTAGCTAAGCATCTTCGTATAACTTGGAAACATAGCGAAAAGGTTGATGCCTTCCGCATCAAGATGATATTTTTTTTTTTTTTTGGTTTCCCACCCGTGTCCGGTACCCGCATTGGAGCCCGACTATATCCGGATTCGCGCCGCGTAGGGCCCCTTTCGGAGGGAAGCGCTCCCTACCAAGAATTTTTCCATATCTAGGGCTCGAGAACACATAAAAGAAAGAGACATGCAAGCTAAAATCAATCAACTTGTTTCTGAAATGTTTTGGCAGGAAAAAGTCATAGTAACTGGCAGAGTTGTCAGACATTAATTTTCTTGTCTTTAAATTCCAAACCTTTCATGACCACAGCAATTGAAGTAGGGCATAGTCATCCTTACTAGTAGAACCGACCTCTCTTGACTTTTGGATTACCAATTTTGGATATATATATATATATGTATTCTTTCTAAGAATACACCACATGATAACTTTGAGAAGTTTATATTCTCTTCTTCTGCCGGTGTTAATTAAGATTTGCTGACAAAAAAAAGCAGTTTGGTGGACAAAGCATTCCGTATTTAATAGTCGTATATTTCCGCAGCTCGAATACAACTTTACCGTTGCTCCAAGGCTCCCTTCCGTTAAAATCTCACTAATAATTACACACACACAAAAAAAAAAAAAAAAAAAAAAAAAGAAAGAAAGAAAGATAATCGATCATCTGTATAGTACCTCAAGGGTATAGTTGCAATCGAGTAAAGTAGTTCTGGTCATTCCAACTATATATCCATTTTTAATTTAGTGATTCAACTGTTTTTTTTTTTTTGGGTGTGTGTCTGATTTTGTAGGACGATCAGCTACAATCAGTCAAAGCTAATATGAAAGAGGTAATGAAAGAAAATCTGAGGCTGAAAATGCACTTGGATCGAATTATGAAGGATTATCGTAACCTTCAGCTGCAATTTCACAACATTGTTCAAAGAGATGCTGAAAAATCCAACATTAGTATTATTAATACTCGGCATGCTGAATGTAATGAAGCTGAATTTGTCTCCCTTAGCTTAGGAAGAACTTCAAGCGACACTAAAAAGGAAGAGTTATCCAAAATCTTAAGCAAAGAAAAGGCAGAGGAAGAAGACAATAAAGGAGGCCTAACCCTAGGACTGGATTGCAAGTTTGATTTGTCCGTGAAAACAACACCGACAGAATTTTCAACTGCAAATCTCAGTGAAGAGAATAGCTCAGAGGAAGTTAAGGACGAAAAAGGAGAAACATGGCCACCCCATAAAATTCTCAAGACAATGAGAAATGGAGAAGATGAACTAAACCCTTCTAAAAGAGCAAAGGTTTCTGTTAGAGTCAGATGTGATGCCCCGACGGTAAGAATGAAATATTAATTAATTTTATGAAGTTAGTAGAATAGTTTTTTAATGACATTATTATAACGAAGTGAACAATACAACAAATTAAATTAATTTTTTTTTTCATATTCATTAATCATTAATATTAGATGAATGATGGATGCCAATGGAGAAAATATGGACAAAAAATTGCAAAAGGAAATCCGTGTCCTCGAGCTTACTATCGTTGCACAGTAGCACCCTCCTGCCCAGTGAGAAAGCAGGTAATATTACTATTTATCACGTTAAATCGCAAAAACATGATTATAATTTGACTTGATCCTTGTATACTTCTGGTTTTATTTCTCCCTCGTCCCATTTTATGCGAAGGTATACTGTTTATGGAGTTAAACAGCTTTTCCTTTGATTATGGTTTTCTCAAACTTTTTTTAAATATTTGGAATAATTAGCTATGTTGACTTGTAATACTTAATTATAATGTAGTTCTTAAATATCTAAATTTTATTTTAAGAAATTTGTAAGAATCTATATGTGAATTTAAATAAAAAATAAGCAGCCGTTAGGCCATAAGTTTTGGAAGTTTTTTCTCAAAAAAAATTCAAATATGTGTTTGTTTATAGAATTAATTTAGTTTTTGGGAGATTTTGAAAACCAAAATTTCAAATTCCAAATATAGCTTAAGACCTCTTTTTGGGCCAAATCATGATCATTTGGGACCTTTTAGTCGAAAAAGCAAAGGACTTTCACATCAAACTTCACCCAAATCAGTTTTTTCAAAAAATATTTGAGGATCTATATCAAACGGGTCTAAAGTGTTTTCACCCTTGTACTCCAAACCCTAACACATAAATTGGCACGGTCTTCCAAAATTTTGATCATGCTATTGGATTACAGGTTCAAAGATGCATTGAGGATATGTCAATCTTGATCACTACATATGAAGGAACACACAATCATCCACTTTCTCTTTCAGCAACATCTATGGCTTTCACAACTTCAGCAGCTGCTTCTATGCTATTATCTGGTTCATCGTCCACCTCTGAATCAGGCCCCAATCCACCAGCAACTGACACCACCAATATCAATGGACTCAACTTCTATCTCTCCGATAGCTCAAAACCAAAACCATTTTACCTTCAAAATTCGTCCATCTCTTCTTCATCCTCGCCCCCCACAATCACTCTTGATTTAACCTCAAGCTCATCCACTTCCTTATTGCCCCAGTACAATAACAGATCAATGAGTAGTAATTATCTCCCCAGATATAATTCTTCTACAAATATTCTCAACTTTAGTTCCTTGGAATCTAATCCTCTTCTTCCCATGTCTTGGAGTAATGGGGCCAACAACAAGAACCAAGAAATTAGTTCTCTCAGCTTTGCAAAACGGCCACAAGAAAATATTTTCCAATCTTATCTACAAAACAATACTAGTGCAAAGCCTACACAAACTTTATTATCACAAGATACTATTGCAGCTGCAACAAAAGCAATAACATCCGACCCAAATTTTCAATCTGCATTGGCTGTTGCTCTTACATCTATCATTGGCTCAGGTGGCCGAAATCATGCAGGTGGTATTGAAGAAAAATCTGGTCAAAATTTGAAGGTTACCGAACCATTTCCAGTTCTTTGCAGCTTCCCATCTACCTCAAAGAAATAATATATCCAATTAATTGCTGTTCAAATTTATCTGAATAAAATCGACTTCAACGGCAAATAGATATATAGCCCGATAATAACTCTGATTCGTTTTACTTGCTTTACATTCTATAGATTTTAGCTTGCTGAAGTAAGAAACTAGCTAGTTGTGACATTACTTGATCTGGTGTAATATTGTTTTTTATAATTTGGAGGTACGATGTCCAAAGTGTAGATATTTTAGTTTCATAAAATTAATTGACACTTCGCTTACTGAAGTCATTACATTTTTATCGTTAAGTGTTAGTTAAATTGATTTTAACATTTCTTGTACGAATTTAGATTCCTGTTGATATATAGATTGATTGACTTGTACCTATGTGTCATATTTATTTTATAATTGGAATTTTTTTACAGTAAGAAATGAGAACTGCACATCTCTTTCTCCTTTTTCAAACTGGTGGCTTTCGATAAGGTATTAAAAGAATACTAATGAAAGCGTGCACGCTAAAATTAATAACTTAAGATGTATCTCTGGGACACTACATATTAAAGCAAGAGAAGACCGTTAGGTGACAATAGGAGGCTGGATTTTAAAAGGGTTTCGCATTAATAAAATAATGCTTTGGCAACTTAATGGGTAGTATAACACAGGGCGGCAAATTGATCAGAACTAGTTTAAGACATAAAAATGTTACCCTATTCGTTTAATTGTAATAGTTGGAATTTCAAGTGCGTCGTAACTGCAGTCCGAAGTCTCAATTTTTATTTAAATCAAACAAATATATCAGGCATAAAAATCAGGATCTTTACACAAATAATCGCCCATATTTATTATTGACTTTTTCTAGTCATATACATAGTTTATACATTAATTATATATATATATATATATATATACCGGCTATTTTTTTTAAGTTGGGTGAACGACTATTTGAGTTAATTACGCTTTTCTTATTTCTTGCTTCCTATTTTTTGTCCATATGAGGAAGGTTATTAGCTAATTGGTCGGAATGGCCTTGAGATAGCTACTTGTTATGGTATTGTCGGACTATGAGCCTACATCCATCTTATTTAAATGGTTTAGAGCTACTTGAGTACAAATAGTTTTAGGATAAGCTAATCATGTGCTTCTCATACAAGTCTTTTATAACGAAGAGGATATAATTATCCCTCATATTGTCTAGCCCTTCACATGTGACTAAATGACTTCATTTCTAGTTCATTAACCGTCCTTTATTATTATTAGTTAGTTTTTCAAAATGTATATTAGACAACAATATTCCCTTTAGTTCGACAATTCAGTCTTGATGTGATCTTTAGTGGTCCCCATTTCTTAGTGTACAATTTGTTGTGATATAATATGGCTTTTAGAAAATTCTAGTGGCAAACTTGCAGAACCAATGAAAATATCTTGATTAAATTTTCTAGCAAAAGCCGGTGGCAAAGGTAGGAATTTATTCGAGGATATTTAAATTTGAAAGAAGTGGAAAAAAAATCCAATAAAGGGTGTTCAATATGTGTTATATACCTCTAAAACGTCGTAACCGGATTCGTGCATTGTTTGATCGATCGAGGCTGAAACATGGTAGGTCAAGGCTTGAGCTCGGATTATATCGAACCAAGGCGCAAAATTAGATCATCGAGCTCATGACCCAGAGGCCGAGCAAAGTCGAGACCGAGTAAGAACGAGACCAAGCAAGATCGAGACCGAGTAAGATCGAGACCGAGCAAGATCGAGGGAAACTTACTGAGCCAAATAACGAAAAGCCGAAATATTCGCAATCGGTCGAGGATCACGGCGGAAATCTCGGCACGTATCAAGAAGAGGCTGGTTAATTAGCACATTATGAGATTTTTACCTTGTATAGAATTACACCTAAAGTAGAACAACCCCAATATATAAAGGGGGTTCTAATCATTTGTAGAACATTTTGTAACACACAAAAAGAAGCAATATAATGATCATTTCTGGTTCTTATCATCTTGTTATTCAGTTCTAATACTAGTTGAGACATTTCTCGGCTCGAGGGTGATCAAACTCAGAGGCTAAGGCTGTTCAATTTTGTGGTTTGTATTTATTTTATTATCGTAAATTTCAATATTAACATATCTTCTTTATTCGTCTCAAGTTGTATCGCGTATCCTAAAAACCCCGTACAAATTCAATTGTTATCCAATTTCAAGGGTAAACGGTTTGGTGTCCACCGTGGAGCTAAGGATAATAGTGATTACCTAGTACAAACTTTCATAACACACACTATTTTACACTTGTTCATTGGAGTATCTTTGATTCTAGGACCAAAATGTCAAACTTTCAGTCAGCACCTCTACACGTTGACAATGATTTCGGCCACCACAGCGAAAATGATAACATAGCACCAGGAAACGACATACCCCCGGTTGGCCTCGATGGAGTTCCGGCTGTAAATCCAATCGATGTCAGCTCACATGTGGCCATTAATGCAAATATGGCCGTCGATCCCGAGTGCAGCATCCGCGGGGATGTTCGATCAGCTGCTCAAAGAACTCATGGCAGTGAAGATGGCGAGATCAGCCTACGGGTGATCTTCGAAATGTTGTAGGCACAACAGGCAGCGATAGCCAGGCTCCAAAGCCAGAATTACCCACCGAGTAGGACCGAGCCTGAGCCGTCCCAGGAAGTTGTTCACAGGGTCGAATCGGTTTCAAGGAAATCGAACGAGAAAGAATTTGAGACCAATCCTGCAACCATGAAGATGCTCGAAGAGCTAACAAAACGAATTGAGTCGGGGGAAAAGAAGATCGAGGCAAACGACAAGAAGGTGGAAACTTACAACTCTAGGGTCGAACAAATTCCGGGGGCACCGCCAATATTAAAGGGACTAGACTCCAAAAAGTCCGTGCAAAAACTTTTCCCCTCGAGCGTGGCTCCAAAGCCGATCCCCAAAAAGTTCTGCATGCCCGAGATTCCTAAGTACAGTGGGACAACCGATCCAAACGAGCATGTCACCTTTTACACATGTGCTATCAAAGGGAATGATCTAGAGGATGACGAGATCGAATCTATCCTGCTAAAGAAATTCGGAGAGAACTTGTCAAAGGGAGCTATATATGGTACCATAATTTACCACCTAATTCTATTGACTCATTTGCTATGCTTGCAGATTCTTTCGTAAAGGCACACGTCGGGGCCATCAAGGTTGAAACCAGGAAAATCGGACCTTTTCAAGGTAAGATAGAAGGACAATGAAATGCTCAGAGAATTTGTGTCTCAATTCCAAATGGAACGGATGGACCTACCATCGGTCGCTGATGATTGGGTTGTTCAAGCTTTCACCGAAGGACTCATTGTTCGAAGCTCGGTTGGCTTCGCAGCAGTTAAAGCAGAATCTGATAGAGTACCCTGTTGTTACTTGAGCCGATGTGCATAAACGGTACCAATAGAAGATCAGGGTCGAAGACGGTCAACTTGGGGCTCCTTCCGGGTCCGTTTATCCTATCAGACCCATCGATAGAATCAAGAGGGATATTGACCGAGAACCGAGATCGAACAGAGAAAGATACCAGCCGTATAATGGAGATCGTACGAACAACGGATCCTGGCGAAATTCTGCATGAGATGAAAAGAGAAGTGATCAGGGCCAGAGCTATCAAGGGCTCATGATCAAGAACGGTTTCGACAGACCTATTGGACCTAAAGAAGCACCACGATTATCAGAGTACAACTTTAATGTTGATGCAGCTGCCATCGTATCGGCTATCGGACGTATCAAAGATACCAAGTGGCCTCGGCCTTTACAAACCAATCCAGCCCAAAGGGATCCCAACCAGATATGCAAATACCATGGCACACATAGCCATAGCATGGAGGATTATCGAAAATTGAGAGAAGAAGTAGCCAGGTTATTCAACAAAGGGCATCTTCAGGAATTTTTTAGTGACCTAGCCAAGAATCATTAAATAGGGATTCTAATAAACAAAACGAGCAAGACGAACCCCAACACATCATTTATATGATCATCGGAGGGGTCGTTGTTCCTCAAGGTCCGATGTTAAAGCGCACTAAAGTATCAATCACAAGGGAAAAACGGGCCCGAGATTACATACCAGAAGGAACTTTATCTTTCAATGACGAGGATACAGAAGAAATAATGCAACCCCATAATATTGCACTAGTAATTTTGTACTCATGAATAAAACTCGAGTTAAGCGTGTGTTAATTGATCGAGGTAGCTCGGCCAAAATCAATCGATCGAGGGTCGTAGAACAACTCGGACTACAGGACCCAATCGTGCATGCGGCCCGAGTGCTAAATGGATTCAACATGGCTTGCGAAACTACAAGGGAGAAAAAATGTTACCAGTAAACATTGTCGGTACCACCTAGGAGACCAAGTTTTATGTGATCAAAGGGGACATGAGGTACAATGTCCTGTTCGGGAGGCCATGGATCCACAACATGAGGGTTGCGCCCTCGACGCTTCAACAAGTATTAAAATTTCTAACACCAGAAGGGATAAAGACGGTTTACGGGGAGCAACCCGCTGCAAAGGAGATGTTTGTCGTCGATAAAGTAATTCCGATATCAACAATCTCATCGAAAAAGGACTCAGGTTCGAAAGCAAAATAAGAAGCAGAATAGCAATCACCGATGCCAACCTCGACCCAACCGAACAAGCAGGGGACTGACAAAGACAATGATTACGGGGTTCCTCGATCCTTTATAGCTCCCAATGATTCCGATGCTACCAAATCAACGATCGAAGAGCTGGAGCATGTCGTGCTGATTGAACATCTGCCCGATCGAAAGGTATACCTGGGCATGAGGTTAACTCCTGAGCTCAGGAAAAAGCTCATCCAATTTCTTATAGCTAACATGGATTGTTTTGCTTGGTCCCATTCGACATGACAGGTATCCCACCGGAGATCACTACTCACAAGCTGAGCCTAGACCCGAAATCCCACTAGGTGAAGCAGAAAAGGAGATCGCAATCCGAGATCAAGCATGCCTTCATCAAGGATGAGGTAACTAAAGTCCTTAAAATAGGGTCCATCCGAGAGGTCAAATACCGGGAATGGTTAGAAAACGTAGTAGTAGTTCCTAAAAAAGAAACAAACTAAGAATGTGTGTGGATTATAAAGATTTAAATAAGGCATGCCCCAAAGACTCTTTCCTTTTGCGTAACATAGATCATGCCACGGCCGGCCACGAGGTCCTCAGTTTTCTCGATGCCTACTCCGGGTACAACCAAATACGGATGAACCCAGATGATCAAGAAAAGACCTCTTTCATCACTAAGTATG